AGAAAATCTATATTACTTACTGGAAATGTTCTGTAGGGATTGGTAGCATAAATGAAGAGAACCACATGTCTGTTCAGATGCATCAGGGACTGAACAGTATCTGAGTTCAGAAATTTATACACCTCTCTTGAAGAATATGTGCTTCTATGAATGCTTGTCTGCATAATTTTTAAGTATGAAGGATAAAGATAAAAACTGGAAAAAGTTAGGTAGATAAAAGAGGAATACAGGGTAATACACAATGGACTATTAAACATACATATATATGATTTGCACATATGTGTGTATGTATTACAAGTATACACATGTGTATGTATACACACCTACATATATGTTTAAAGAATGAACACTGTTGCAAATGTTTTCATATGTACAATTTCATAACCTTTTTTCATTAAAGCATTCTAGAGAAGTAAGTATATTAGAGCCAAAAATAAATTACATATAGTATGTGTGTGTGTGTGCATGTGTGTGCGCATGTGTGTGTGTATATATATAATATATATAATACATATTATACATATGTAATATATATATATATATATACACACACACACACACACACACATATAGTGTTATGGGAACAAAAAAAAAACAAGAAAATGAAAATAAGTGAAGCACATGGTTTTCCATTTTCTTCAGATTCTGCCTTGACTTATGTTTGTTTTTGCTTGATCCATTTACAGTCCCCAGTTCTTCCCAATACCGTTAAAATGGTCTCCATACAATTTTTAGTACCTTTGTCTTGTGTGTTCTTGTGTGTGGTTTGCAATTGGCAGTTACTATAAGGTCAGCAACCCATTCATTCAAAGTTAGTTTTCTGACACCTTATTTTTGGGGACTACTCTTCAGTTAGGCATAAGTCATTTTTCAACAAAAGAGATGACATTGTATTTCTGTAAGATCAAGTAATAACATGTTGTGTGGGGGAAGGGCTATTCTTTGTATGGCCTAGAAAGTGTACTGCTCGCTACTTGTCTTCCATTTCCCAACTACATTGTAAACAATATAAGGGGGAGCTTTGATTTGATGCTGCTTTAAAAAAAAATTAACAAACCTATATTATTTTATACTCTGTGCTATTCACTTTATACATATTGTCTTTAATTGTGCAGCAATCTGCAAAAAACAGCCGCCATTGTCCTTACTTCCCTGATGAAGAACCTGTACTCAGAAGTATCAGTTACTTGGCCACAGTCACACAGCCAGCACATGTTCCAGGACATTAGACCACACCTTTGCGACTCCTTTCCTTTCCTTCCTTGGCAAGCTATGTGAATAAAGGAGATTATTCAATTTAGGAAAACCTTCCTTCACAAATTCAAAGTAAACCAGAAAAGGAGACAACAGAGTTGACGGACTATTGGGTTGTTGAAAAAGTCATGACACATTTTTGCAACAAAAACCAGAAAAATACGTCATGACTTTTCTGACAACCCAATATAATATTCTCAAGGACAGGAAGTGTGGTTTCTATTTCATTTGCAGTGGTTAGAAATGTGTACATGGCCTGGGCTTAAATAGTCACTTTGCCTCTCACCAGCACAAAAAGCAGCAGGTTACTAACCTCTCTGAAACTCAGTTTACTCATCTTTACATTGGGGGAATAACAGCATTGGTTTAATAGTGGCATTGTGCAGATTAAGTGTGGTAATAAATGTAAATGCTGGGTACCGTGGCACACAGAAAGCATCTGTAAATATAAGCTAAGCTTCCACATGATATAATAATTAGAGTGAGACTGAGAAAAAAACATGACCCCGCTGTAATGACCAAAAGCCTTATGACTCCAAGTGTCCCCCAGAATAGCTGGATCAGCATCACCTGGAAACTTGTTAGAAATGGAAGCTCATGGGCCCCATCCTAGACTCACTGAACTGGCATCTCTGGGGTGCGGTGGAGGAGGCCTATGTTACCACACATTGCAGATGCTGCTTATGTGTGCTAGTGTGGGAATCTTTGGCCCAGAAGTTAGGAAGTATACTTCTAATCATTTTACAGAGTGAGTGCCACCACTTTATTAGAGAATACCGTGTGGGCTAATAACCAGTAGTCAGCTACTGAATCCTATGTTACACCTACAAGGCATGTATTAATATTTACAAAGATATTGAGGCCTGTGAGTTCCCCAGGGCCAGGGATGCTCTGTCATATATGCTTGGCCTCAGAGTACAGGATACATATTAGGAATTCAAGAAGTAGTTGGAATTGATTAAATGATTTTGCTAAGTTTCTTTTAAATAACTGGCAAATCTACTTACAAATGTTTAAAAATACATTAAGATAATTTCTTATTAATACAGCTTTTATAGATAAATGCAAGTATAAATTTTAGAGTATTTTGTAGATACATAAAAGGAATATAAATGTTTTTGTCTCAGAATTATTCTGAGGTGTTTATTTTTTTGCCTATATTTAGTTTGGTTTGCTTGTTTGTTTATGTGTTTGGTTCTAAAGAATTGCCCTGGGAAGAAAAAGAAGAAGAGAAAAGCAAAACAAAACATAGTGAATTGGTTCTATTAACATATGTCGCACTGCAGGCTATAAGAAGAGAATTTGGTAAAATAATGGCCGATATTTACAATCTGCGAATCAGCATAGGGTATAGAGAACAATTATACAATAATTGTTTCCTTTTTCTAAGAAAACGTGCATTGAGGTGATAATTAAACTTCAGGCACAAAAATCCAGCTTGCTAACTTCGCCATTATCATGATCATGATCAATGTCAAGTACTGTTTAAGTATCTATGCTGTTGGGGCATTATGCTAAGATGTCGCAATTTATTAAAATTATGCAATATATCTAGAGATAGGGAAGATGATCAGTTGTGAGCCCTGATTACCACTTTTTTTCCATTTTAAAGTCTTTATTTGTACTTGAAAGTAGCATGAAATCTGAGGAAGAACAGGCCATTTTGATCAGACAGACCTAAGTGACCATGGATAAATATCTATCATCATAGCATAGTGCTGTTATAAAAACCTGTTATAAAACAATGCCGGTTACATAAGATGTGCTTACTGAAAGTTGTTGTCATAGCTATTGTTGTTATTACTATTAATGTAACTTAGAAGGCATGTAAGCGGTTAAAGGACAACCCTCTGAACTTCATGGCAATGAGCAAGTAACTATGTCAACTTTCAGGCACATAAAATGAGGTTAAAATATTTTCTCTATCTCCAATTTAGGAACATTCCAAAAACAGAGTGACTATATTTAGAAAAGCAAATGTTTAAAAAAAATTGTCTTTTAGGACCCCAAAGAAGCACCCACAAGATCCCAGTTCATCACAGCATTGTTAAAACGCTCCAACAACAAACATTTTAGCTCAGTAGCCACACACTTTGACTTAAGAGGGCAACATTGTCATTGCAAAGTGATTACAGCTTAATGCCGTCTTCTTTGAGCAACTTAGAAACAAAAAATGTTGGACAAATCATGAATTCAACTTCTTCCATGTGATAATTCTTTCACAAGTTGATTAATAAAGAGTGTATGCTACCACACTTCTAAAGTGTAAATATACGTACACAGACATGGAATACTCATACAGATTGTAACTCACTAAGAATAACTCACTTCATTCTAAAAATAAATGTTGTACCTTGAGGAATAAGAAGTATTATGTCTAAATCTATCCTAATTCTTCCAAGATAAGGGAGCCAAGGATGTAAGAGCAAAGGCTCTGGCTTCATTGGATACAGTAAGGTGCCTTCCTATCTCCATCACTTATTCAGTGTGGAGCTTTGTATAAGCTACTTAGCCTTTCTGAGAATTAGTTTCTTCATCTGTACAATGGGACTGCTAACCTGTGCTTAGTAGGATTAGTGCAAGGACTAAAGGGAATAATTCTTATGTATGTCTTGCAACAATAACTGCTCAATAAATGTTAATTTTCATTACAGTCAAGTTATACACAAAGTAAATAACTTAGTCATAAGTCAATAATAGAACAAACATTGCATTCCTCCAAATTATGCTTTATTGTTACTTCTTTATCTTATTATGGTGCTGTCCTCCCCTCAGCAACTCCACAAATAAAAAACAATAATGACAAGGGAAATTTCTTTCAGGAATACAATTATAGAAATATAAAAGATAAGATTGCAATAATTATTATAAATAGAATCAATGATTAAAATGCAAATATAAACTGATTTCAAACATACTCTCCACTTCCATACAAAGATTTAACACAATGTTTCCACAAACTGTCAGTATCTCCACTGAGTTCAAAGTATTCTACTTCTTCCCTTCCTAATGTTTGGACCCAGAAAATATGCTTCTTATTCTCATTTTCTTTTTAGCTCATTAGGCAGAAATAGATAAAAAACATCATAATTTATCTTCTGACAATATTAAGTTGAACTACACTACTTGAAGAATATTTATTTTGGCATATTCCCATTATGTTTCCAATTTTTTTTTT